CCTGTATCAGGTCTATTATGTTTTCTTTGTGGGTATATAGTTCCTGCTGCATAGTTATCTGTTCTTAAGTGTGTTGTGTTTAAGTTTCCATTTTACTTATTGCATGTATTTCCTCTTTTTCCGTTTCTAGCCAATCCACCAACCCCTTTTATTTTGCCTAAGATCGAAAGTGGTTGTTTGCTAATAAAACAGCCTAGCTTGAGGAACCTGGTCCGGTTACACACAGTTTGTGTCTGTTTCTTCGTAAGTTGAGTTCTACAGAGGGTGGAAATGGAGAAAATCCCTCAAATGGGAGGGGGGGACCAACTGACAAAACTTGTCCCGCTGTGCAATCGATACAAGTAATTGAATCCTCATTTAATTGATTTGTTTGAAACGGGAAACAGTGATTGAAATATGGCTTCTTTTTCAAACTCTTTTTCCCCACCAATAATCTGGGAAAAATTGCTGCAGTGGGTTCTTTTTTCCTGTTCACTGTGGTCAAATATTTTCCAGTTTTCGCCACTTTCACAAGTGTTGTCAGCCCACCATGTGCTTATCAAAGCAATAAATGCAAACCAAACTAATTTCAAGACTCTGTCCCAGCCTTTTTTCTCATGGTGGCAGCCATTTTGATCGTTGTAATGTATTTTTGGGGGGGGGGTTACTGTCATTTGGTGAGAACATTTGTAAAAGAAAACTCAAATCTCTGTCATATTTTTGTTTTTGAGAGGGAATTGATTCAACAGAAAAATTATCACCTCGGGAAAATAAACACAAGTTTGATGTATTCATATCTGAAATCATCCACCCTCAGGCGGAGACTGTGAATGGAATGAAATAGGGGGGGGGTTTCCTGAATGGTAGTTATGGTGTCAGCTGGCTACCTGTTTTGCAGTGTTATAGTCATGACCATCACAAGTCCAGGAACAAGACCAGAAAGTGACAGTGTCAACAGTGACAAAGGAATGCTTTTGTCGCAGTTTCTTTGAATAGCTTGTGACTTGACTTCAAAATGGAGGTCTTGTGAGGGATGGAGTCTCAATTACAACACTCTTACTTTGACA